TTTCTCTTTGTAAATTTTTTAGGATGAAATTGAGCTTTATGAGTTCCACTTCTGTTTAGAAAATCATTTAGAAATTAAAGTTGGGTTTTGAAAAATTTAATATTATTCAAATGTCTAGCGTTTGAATGAATCTAACTGCGTTTTTTTTTTTCCTACTTTTTTTATTTGTTGACATTTTAGGTGTTAGAAATAGTTGAAATCGCTTTGAAGATTATCGGGTGCTACCGGTTAAGTGGACTATTCAACAAAGAGAAGTGTTTGCTTTTTTGTTTCGTATACTCGGAATGGTGGAAAGGAGAAAGAAATTCTTGGCCATTTACTCAACGAAAGGTTCACCGAGGAAATTCATTACAGCTAACCGTGGTGTCGTTGGTACTTGGGAAGTTGCTGTCACTTTTGACTTTTAAGGCAACCCGGAGCGCAAGATCATTAGGTCATAACAATAATTATGGTTGATTTTTGGTAAGTAGCCCACATTGCATTAGTTTTGGAGGTCGTAGTCTTGTGTGAGATTTAGGTTTTACGGGTTATCGTTCTTTAACACAAATGGTATTATTCGAGATATGATTTCTAAGGTCTTTTTTGTTTGTTTGATAATTGTTATTAGCGTCTTGTAAGAGGTCCAGGGGCTTTGTTGTTGGTTTTTGGTGTGGACAGGTAAGTGACGTACTAGTTTTATTAAGTATTTGGGTTCTTTAGTGGTAAATTGCACTTTAATTGCTATACGTAGCAGTTACATGAACGTACATTTAACCAATCATTTAAAGTTAAAAGGTCCTGTGGCGAGGGTAACTAGTTTTGTGCAGGAAATTGTTAGTCGTCATTTCAAGTAATCATTTCATTGAATTATAGCCTTAAGGAACCTGGAGGATTTTTTGGAAAATTGAATCAGTTCTTTTCGGCGGTTTTAAGGTTCGGTTAGGTAAGGTTATTTTGTTTTACGCCTCTTTTAATGTGGTGCAGTATTTGCTTTGAGGAGAGGGAGATGGTGAAAATGTTGGTAAATTTAGTTAAGGATATCTTCGGTGGAAGCAGATTGGTTTCATTTAGGTGTTGTGTTGTTAATTGACATATTTGGAGAGGTTGGAAGTTGCAGAAGACGTAAGACGGTTGTCTTTCTTAGGGCTTTTTATGATGATTCTGTTGAGTCTACAAATAGTAAATAGATGAATAAGGTTTTTAGTAGGTGTGTGACGTGTTTAAGCGAATAACTCGCGGATTCTATGGCTGCAGTTTGAGGATGATCCCTGTTATGATGAAAACGAGATTTTTTGGGTGTCCAAGAAGTGGTTGCTTAACAGATTGCATTAGAAGTGACAGCAGTCTGGCTGAAGTGTATGCCACGCATTAAGCCAGTTAGGTTTTTTAGAGGGACTTCTGCCGTCACATTTTTACAGTCGCTTTTCGTTAACACTGTGTATTGATCAAGTTGGAAATCAGAGTCTACAAAAGTTTACAATAAAAGGTTATCATTGACTTTGTCAATGTATTGGAGGTATATTAAATGGGGGTTGATGAAAGCACGCAAAGGATCGAGTGCAGAAGAAATGTGTGCAAAAATGTGTAGGCTTTCTCGGTCTGGTCACTTATCGATTTCTTCCCCCCAACAAAGTATTTGATAATGAGTTTTGGCTAGCAATTTTATTTTTTTTCTTATCGCCGGATAACGTGTTAAATTGGTTAGTTTCAAAGCGATTAATTAAATGTGTTGTTGTATTAGTTTTGGGTAGCAGCGTTTAAGAGCACAAGCTTACAGTAGAATTGATTTGAATGATTTTGTCGTACTTGATTTCTGAAAGTTTTTTGATTTCAAATTGATGGTGTGAGGCCTTTTTTGGAAGTTGTTTGCACTTCGGAAGTTCAACAAGCATTGTAAGGATGTTAATTTGGGGGTATATAATGTAGCTAAACTGTATTTTATCAGAAGTGGGTGCGATAGGTGGTGACATGTATACCTATAGACTAACAGAGTGATTGAAGCATTGATATAAAGTAGGATCTAGAGAGCATTGGCTACAGCAGTTACAATACGTCTACAAGATGCGATTGCTTTGAGCTTTTACTTGACATTGAGTAATTCTTATGATTGAATTAATATTTGAGATGTTTTTT